TTCTTGTGGCAGTGTCCAGGGGCTTTAGACTTTCCACTAGAACATTTTCTAACCAATTGAATCAAATAATGTTTGAGGCCTTTTAAATTTGAAATGGTAGATGCTTTTCATAAATTTTTTCTTGAGATCAAAGATTTACAAGCCTCCTGAAAAAGAACAATCCAGCAGTCATGAACTGACCATCCTGCAGTCCTAATAGTTCTGTGTAGGGAAGATTAGGAGTTCAAATCCCCACAGATCCTGAATATCAGCAATAGTTCCACTGGTAGCACATTTAACAATAGCAGGTGAAAGGATGAGGAGGAGAAATATGATGCTGCCTGTATCAAACAACTGTTTACTCAGTGAAGTACAAGCTTAATTTACTGGCATGTTACTCATTCCAAGTCAACCACTTCAAAGAGGCAGTTAAAACCAACTGAGTAGATGTTTGCTTAGTCAGTAGATAAAGACCTTGGGCAAACAATTATATATGACACACACCAAGAAGGGCAACACTTATCTTCTAGATGCAATGTTCTATCACTCCATATTGATGCAATGATTTGTCCACAAGTTGGAAGTCAAGACCTAACTACAACCTTCCTCAATGCTATGCAAAGCAAATGCAAAGGAATGCATAGAAACAGTACCCTCTTGGATCTAGCACTTACAGTGCTACATATTATGCCATTTCTGCATATGTGACCTATATCTGGGCCTCTCTCATTCAGAAATACAAAAATCTCATTTTAATATACTTGATAGAAAAGTTCTAGCTATTCCTGAACAGTATGGCTCTTAAGAAAAGGCAAAATATATCCACTTAAACTTCAAACTATTTTCTGATATTAACCCAACTATTTCATATTGACTTTTCTCATTAGAAAAGTCTACACACACACAAAAAAGATTTAAAAATCTTAAAGAAATCCCTGGTACTATTCTAGATGAAAAAGGAATGCAAAAGTTTCAGTCATCCAGAATCTGATCAACTTTTCACCCTGGTTTCTGTTTACAGACTCCTCAGCTCACATTGTTGGAATGAGACAAATATAGCCAGTTTTGCTTTGATCTGTAGTCAGCTTGGCTTTCCAATTCTGGCACAACGGTGACATTTAAGAGGGAAAGGGATAAAATTATTTTCATTCCAGTCTTTTAAACATGATAAAGACTTATAAAACAGCTCAGGCCAGAGATGAATTTGGATCTAAACAGGCTATATTTTTTAAAAAGTCCTTCTTACCCTCTTGAATATTTACAGAAGTATAAATAGTTAAGTAGGTAAACACGTCATTCCCTTCAATCATCTTGCTTATTAAGACAAGGACTGATTGAATTGTACTTGGAGAACAATGTAGGAGGAAAAATTGCTTCAAGGTACAACTCAAATCAGAGTGAGACTGGTTTTGCAAATAAGTCTCTGACACTTTCCAGAGACAATTATAATAACTCTAAAAACAGTCAGGTTTCCACACAACAGAAGGAAACCTGGTCTGCATATCTATTTACCCCCATCACTCCACAGTCATCTGAATCACTGGAATTCTTCCTGTCTCACCTACAAGCTTGGTTTCTTAATTTGGCAGCTTAGACCTGTTTTAAGAGATATCAGAATTGAGGGCAAGCCTGTTCATTAACCTCATGTTTTTCAGATTCAAAGGTCTCCTTTCTCCACTTCAGCCCCAACTTCCTGTTCTCCCACTCTGGAAGGAAAGTAAAAGAGGAGAAGGAGAATAAAAGCATGTGAGGGGACAGTGAGTGGCAGCCAGGCAGAGCCCGGGACCGTGACATTGCCTCACAGACACAGACCGATAGACACAAGCTTGTGTGCACTATCACCACAAGTTCGGATCTACGGGTTTGTGGCAACAGGCTCAGGATCTTCTCTCCTGTGGGGATCTGACATGTCTGCAAATAAAATGTTAAAACCATTAGTCCAACAAAAGATGCCATCATTCCATTGTTTCATGCCAGAAATGGCAAGGATCTTATTCTGCTCTCTAAAGGGCAAGAGGTAAGCAAAATCTGTTCTCATCCCCGTATCTCCCTTAGTTTTCACTCACTCCACAATAGAATGGGTTTTAGGTATAACTCAGCATTTTACTATTTAACATATGGGATCCTCACATATTCCATCCTTAACACATGATCTGAGCAAAGTAATCAATGTGGTTAAAACTGAGCAAAGCAAAAAAATGCTTTAAATTATAAGCAGAGAGAGAAAAAAAAAACACATGAACACCCAAGTGCAAGGTCATTCTTTCCAATACCTGTGGTTCCATGAAAAAGGATGATGCATTTGCATTCTTGAGAACAACTGGATTAAACAAGCAAGCATTATCAACAGATTTGAGAGTGTTTTCTAAACACCACACTAGAGAAGAGTTCCAGCTACATTCAATTGGAATTTTCATCTTCATGAAAAGTTTTTGGTTTTGTTCCCATCTGCATCCCATTATTGGTCCAAATACCAACAGTGAGCAAGTCTGGGTGCATTTGAATCTTGTAGGAAATTACATAATTGCTACCCCCAAAACTGTGAATACAGAGAAGAATTTATTTCTTTCTTATAAAAGGATTTTATTTGTCAACATACCATAATTTCTGGGAAGCCAAAGTTCTACATCTAATAATGGGGCATCCAAGACAAGGACTTTTATTAATGGCTCCTTTGTGAATTGTATTGCAGATGTAATTTTAATCATATGTACTTCAAGGACACGTGCTGGAAAGCTAAATAGTTTCCCCTCTCTATATTCTGGGAAAAGCATATGCTTCCATCCTTTTGAATGCCCTAAAAAGAAACCTTTAAAACTTTTGTTAGCTATTACTATGAGTCCTGGCTCTGAAAATAATCTCCTTTGCCTTGACAAACTGACATTCGTTCCCTTTTCAAGAATCTGGGAGATGAAGTGCAGCTCTACTCATAACAAAAGAAGATAGGACTGAATTGGGGAATTACCCAGAGAAAATATCAGGCCCTCTATATACAATCCAAAAGGTGAAATCATGAGAACAGGAGGCCAACAGTAAGAAGAACAGGGACTGAATCACATCCATTGATACTTCACTGTTTGCCTATTTCTTCTAGGAGGCTAATGATGCTGTAGAAGGTGCCAAAACTGAGAATTTACTTGTAGCTCTGGAAAAACTGGTTTTCATATTCAAAGACACCACAATACCAAGTGGAAATAAGTAGTATCCACACGAGAAACCCCCCAAACGGTCTTAATTTATTTTATTTAAAAAATATTCATTTCCTTTCTAAAATAAAAGATTTTAAGTCAGCCTTGGAGTTCTTATTTTCCTTTGATCTCTCTGACAAAGGAATGGGGCCAGAGATATTTAATGATGGGCCCTTGAACACTGTCAAAGATTGTTGGAATGTGTACAACATAGGAACTCTTATTAAAATATAAGAGAAAAGGCCCAAGCTTTCAAAATAAATGAGAACTAATTATTATTATGGACTAAGCATCCCTAATTCAAAAATCTAAAATCTGAAATGCATTCAAACCCAAAACTTTCTGAGCACTGACATGATACCACAAATGGAAAATTCCACCTCTACCTCATGTGAAGGATCTCAGTCAAAATGCAAGTGCACTAAAGATACTATATGAAATGAACTTTGGGCCTTGTGTATAAGGTGTATAAGAAACATAAATGAATATTGTATTTAGACTCCGGTCCCCCTATCAAAATATTTCAATATATTTGCAAGCATTCCAAAATCTAAAACCATCAGAAATCTGAAACATTCTGGTCCTAACTATTTTGGATAAGGGATACTCAACCTATACCATGTTTATTAAAATAATATAATGCAATATCATTGCACTGTCAGCAATGGACTAAGATCTGTCAAAGTGGTACATTTCATCATCCAAGTAGTACCATATTCATTGATCTCCGTGGTGCTCTCTAAGTCCATAGAAAGCAGCTCAGTGTCGTTTCAGTTGGGAGTATCTTTTTATTTTTCTTTGGCATATGTCAGACAGAGAGAAGTTATTCATTTAAAAGAATTACTAATACTAGCTCCCAAATAATCTAGAGTTTGAAACTTAGACAATAAAAGTGCACTCAGAAGATAGCCAAGCTGCTGAGAAGAAAAAGAAAGAAGGAAAGAAAGAAGGAAAGAAAGAAAGAAAGAAAGAGAAAGAAAGAAGGAAAGAAACTGACCTAAAGAAGGAAAGAAACTCACCTAACAGTGAAAGAGTGTGTTTGGTAATAGATATTTTCCTAATGTAGTAATTCAATATCTCCTTTAGAAACTTATTTGTGTGGAGGAGGAAAGTAAGGATGATTCTTTTCAGAAGAAATTTTGGCTTCCTTCATTAAATAAGATTTCATGGGCTCTCTTAGATAGTAATACAATAATTACGTTGGAAGATGTGATCTAATGTCTGCAAACAATGGCAAACAGAGTAAGGTAATTTACCAAGAAAATACATCATTTATGTCATTAAACACTGTTAGGTTGTACAGAGTCCTTTAAAAACACTATACAGAGTGACTACCTCTGTTGTGACAGCTGAGCTCAAGTCCGACTCATTGGTTCTGTATTGGAATAGTTCCATAAAGTGCTATGTAGTATTATCAACCCAGGACTAAAGTTAAAACATCAGTATTGTCAGTCTTCAATGTATACAAGCCCCATCATTCAGAATTCAGAATACCTGTTAGGCTTTGTAGAGCCAGTCCTCTAATTGTTAGAGTTTTGAACTTAAATGCCCAATTTCACCAGAGTTTAAGGACAATACCTGATAGTTTTCAATGAATGCTACTATCATTCTCGAAAAGAAGCAAGTCTCATTATCTAACAAATTTTCAAAACTGTTTCATACTCCATCGAATCAAATGCCACAACTAGTCTACTCAATGACTGTAAAAATTATAAAACTGGTTGTTATTTTTAAAATTACATTTAAAATATAGTATTCTTATACATGCCCTAAAAATTGCAGTGATTTAGGAAATGTAAAGATTTGGGGGAAATTACATGAAAATGCCATTACCTGAAAAAGGTAAATTCTTAGGAATCTTATTTTTTAAATCTGCATCCATCTTGTAGACCCATATCTTCAAATAATTCACTGGTGTCTAAAAAATAAGACATTTAAAACATTTTTAAGTGGATCAGTCTTCTTTGTTTGTTGTTTGGTTGGTTTCTTTTTATCACCCAATACTTTTGTAATGTTAAATTGGAAGTAATGCCAGAACAAGAGTACAAAAAAAAAAAAAATCAAAAACAGAAATACTGAAAAAACACTGGGAGGCATTATGTTTACCTCATTTCCAGCAAAACCTGTAATGAAAAGGCTCTGTAAGTAAGTAACTGTCACATTTTTCCTGGAATTTTCCTGTCTTCCAACAGACCTTGAGACTGATTCTACCCAAAAAATAATCAAGTTGGAATGTGAAATCTCAGAATACTCGCAAATTCCAATGTTTTATACCAAACAACTCACTTGTCAAAACTGATTAAGAGATAAACTATTAATAATTAAGAATGGTTATGGTACAATCAACAAATGGAGCAGTGATTACCTGGCCTGATAGAGCATCTTTGAGAAACCATTTTAACTTTTTGACTCTGAAATTATTCAAAAGTCATTATTTCTCTCTGTCGATAAGGTTGTTCAAAAGGAGCAGATATCTGATTGTGGAGAATTCATGAGTCTAACCCTTTCTATTACAGCAGGATTCTTGGCTTCCATTCCAACTTTCTTTCATTGGCCATGTTTTAGATGCAGAGTTTGCCTTTCCTTCATTGTTCCTTTACTAATGGAAAGCAAACTCACTCTGCAGCTGCTTGTAAAGGGGAAAATCTGAGTTTTGTCTTGGACTTGTACACCAAATCCATGGTTATGTTAGCAGAACTACACCAACAGAAAGACTTTCTGGCCTTCACTCCCCTTCTTTTTTAAAAGATATACATCCTGTGCAAAATCTCAGTGAACTTCATTTGTCCCAAAGAGATGGTGCAATTTGACTGACAATTTTGGATGAAGGAAGAGAGGCTGGGAGGATGAAGAAAAAAGAAACATGAAAAGAAAGATAGAGAAGGAAAGAAGAGAGAGAGACAGAGAGAGACAGAGAGACAGAGAGAGAAGCAAGACAGAGAAAAAGGAAAGAAGAAAAAAAGGACAATAAAGAAAAGAAAGGAAGAGGGCAAGAAAAAAAAAAAGAACTCTTCAGCAAGCTTGTTGAAATCCACCCTTTGGCAGTCAACCAGACACCCAACATCATGAAGAAGGGAGACAGCTAGTTTTGGGCCCCCTTATGTCTTTTCAGTTTTTCTGATGTCATTTCTTTCACCCTCTGCAGCCTCTGGGTTTTAGTTTTTTTGGGTTTTTTGTTTGTTTGTTTGTTTGTTTTGCCTGAAAAATCCAATTTCCCCAACAAAAGAAACACATTGAGCAATTGCTTCTCCAGGAGTCATTTGCTGGTGCCGCGCATCACACAATGCGTCAGCCTGTGATGTTGCCACAAGGATACCACAGCATAGTGCAGGAACATCTCTCTAGCACAGCATAGTACCAAAGCCAGCTCCTTAGGCTCAATTAATTCTTCTTTACCTAGGAAAACTGACCAGAATGGAGGTGGGGAGGGAAGAGACCGGCAAAGCCATGCAATGGTTTTCATGCTTCTTTCCAACAATAGGAAGTTTAGAAATTGGTATTTGTAACCTTCTTACCACAAACTCCCTGTATTTTTTTTTTAATTTTATGAAAAATGATAAATGAAAAGCATGTATAGTTCGGCTAAAGAACAAAGACATGAAAAAATGGCGTGAGGGAATAGGATAGATTGGACAAAAACAAACCATATCCTCAAACTGAGTCGTGGACTTACTCTTTTTTTTGTAATTTAAAAAAACCTAAACCCACTTAATGATCACTTACCAGAGGTGCATAACAGAGATCAACAATTTAAGAGTGAGAAATAGGAAGCAAATTTGCTCTTGACACACTCGATGAAACAAAAGAGAAAGAGGCTTTGCCAGTAACAAGTTGCTTCTTGTACAGCTGGCTTAGGGAAGCTACTTTCACTTTGGAAAGGCATGAGTTTGTTCACGATGACAATTTTTCATCCTTTTTAAAATGAAATAAGGCTGGCCTACAACTTCTTTTGTAGCTATATTGTTAATATTAAAGCAGAGAAGTAGGGTTGAAATGAAATAATAATAATAAGATCCTGATTGTGACCAGGAAACATGAGACATTTTTAAAAAATCAGATGTCTGTCATTTCACTACTATACATGAACTACATACTGCCTGAATGCTTGCTATATACCAGCCAACTTTAACATTTTCTGTGCAAAGCTCTGTTTTGCTCTTGAGAAAGCACACCACAATTAGATTAGAAAATGAGGTGACAAGGAGAAAGAATTAAATCACTTGGATCCTGCAAGGAAAGAGATGTGCAATATGTAAAAAGCCAGTATTTCCTTAGAGCTTTAACAGTAAAACAATGGGATTCTCTTTCTGGGAAAGGTACAGAAGAGCCTGGAACTTCCACAGTGATACTTACAGAAAAGAAGCAACCATCAAACCCAAGAAACTAGGTTCCGCTGAAGCAGAAAGCCCCTTTCCTCAGTCCAGGGCACAGGTCCACTGACCTGCTCTGTGCTGCTCCCCAGGAGGCCAGCTCTCTCACCCAGGACTTTCCTGCCTACTGATTTCTACATTCCTCCCTTCTTTCAAAACAACAGGCAGCCAAGTAGAATAAAATTTTACATCATCTCTGCCAAATTGAAGTTTGAAAAAGAAAAGAAGTATTAACCCATATACCTACTTCTTTCTCTCAACTTGTACAAAAATCAGTTTTTTCTTTTGCTTTCCAGCCCTTTTTCCACCCCTGACATTCATTCCCCCCAACACACGCACACACACACACACACACACACACACACACACACACACCACAACTGCTGCTTGGTCCAATCTGGTGCCTGCTTAACAACAGCAAAATGACAAGCAACATCTGTTTGTAAAAGAGCCAAAAATCAAACCTTAACATTTTTTGGCTAGGTCTCTCTTTTCTTTTTTCCCCTGACTCTAAAATGGGAGGAGCAAAAAAGAGAAATATTAAGATTTATATTCAGCATTGGCTCAATGAGGCACCATCTCTGCTCCCCAGGGATGTTTGAAGGTAAAGCACTTTTAGGGAAAAACCACTGTGGTATTTAGGGTTGTCTCCGCTGAAGTAGTCACATGAAATCTAACATATCAAATCTCTAAAAGTCAGTTTTTATCTAATAGCCTTATATTCATCTTTTAATTAGAATTACCTGGGCTTTTATGTTGGTGGAGGGGAAGGAGGAAAGCAAAACAGGAAAAGAAAAGAAATAGCAGAAAGGAAAGGAGCTCTGTTATTTCTCTATTCTTTCATATCACACAGGCATACAAACAGGCACATTTACACACATGCCACACACAGGAGCCTGCACCAGACACAGCGAGGCTGCAGCACAGATCTGCACAGCTGTGGCCATCAGAAATGGGCTCCAGCATTCCCCTGTGGAGATGTGGATTTCTGGAAAGCTACCAACAGTCCACAAAGTCACAATGCAAGGGATCAGAGCTACCTCCATGGTGGGGGTGGGGGGCTGGTACTGGTAAGGAAGAGAAAGCCTCACTCATCAAATGCAGATTTTACCCCAGTAGAAGGGAAATAGGAGCCTATGAGAGACTACTCCCATTGCATTCAGGATTTGGATGAAACTCACACACGTTAAGGAAAAAATAAATTCAGACAAGTTGCTAAGGAGACTTGTGTAAACTCCAAGCACAGACATATTTCTTGGCCTTTCCCCCTCCTCTCCATCTTGTATTCTGATCACGCAGCTCTGCGGCAGCACTGCACCAACCTTCTGCATTGATCTTGGCCTTCACTCTGCAGACTGGCAGAGCTCACTGGTGGTGGATCTCATCATCTTTCAAAGTTAGCAAGTTAAAAGGGTATTCGTGTGTGTGTGTGTGTGTGTGCATGTGTGTTATGAGGAAAGGGTAGGGGAATTTTAATTCTGAATTTTTAAAATATAGATGTTGAACAAAAACGAATATTTACACTGCATTTTTTGGAAGCAGTGGAGAAAGGGGTAGCTAAAGCATGTAGCTCTGGAAATATCCCCTTGCCTGTAGAGTCTGTCCTTTCTTTGTGCCCCTAGACTTCCCTCATGTGTCTAATAAAATCCTGCCCCCTGACACATGTAAGCAAAGCCTGAGTCTTTGCAGATGAGGGTTCTGCAGAAAGCAGTGCATTTTACAAAGTTAAATTCTGCTCCCTGCTCCCTTCCTTAGGAGGGAGGGATTCACTGTTTTTAAGAACTGAGATGGTTCCTAAAACTCTTAATTCAAACCTTTTTGGATTCTAAGCCTGCTAACATTTCAGAGGAAAGACTTCAGCCTGGTCTGTATTCTCTTCAGCAGAGAACTTCTCTCATAGTGACACATCTTCAGTAGCACCTGATATATGTCAACATTTGATTTAGGAGAAAATTAACATTTTCCTATAGGACAGAAATGTTTATATATTAGAAGCCAATATTTTCCCTTCTCAGCCCCTGTATTAGGATTTCTACAATTTTTGCCCAGGTCAGAGATAAACTTGACCAACAGACCAAATCATTGTTCAGGTGCTGGAGCAAAACATTTGTCTCAAAGTCTTGTCTGTGTATACCTTTGTGGGTACTTATATATGTGTGTACTTTCATGTGTGTCTGTGCATGTGTTTTCATGTTCATGCATGTGTCTTTCAGTATAGTTTGTGCATATGTGTGTTATGTGTACTTATGCTTGCTTTTACATGTGTATATGTGTCATACATGTTCTATGTGTTTTCTATACACATGTGCATGTTTGTGAATATTTGTGTGCTTTTTATGTGTACTTCATGTGCGTATATGTGTCTGAATGTATATGCCTCTCTGTGTGTACATGTATGTGCATGTGTGTGTGTGTGCTTCCCTGCCTCACCATGATGGTGAAATTAGTAAAACAAACATCAAGATGGTTAGGGCATGGGCATCTGCTCAGTCCCCTCTCAAATTAGGGAAGGTTGCAAAATCCCCCACCCCCAGCAATAACAGAAAAG